TACCTAAGCCCAAAAATGCTTTGTTTTGAGCACGAAAATGCTATCCAACTTTCCCTAAAACCCCACTAAGGTACCCAACTGTTATTTGAGTCTTATATATGTTAAGAGGGGTCATTATATGGCAATATACATGTTGAAAAGGCCATAAGTTGAAATCTATCATGAATGTGCTTACATGCTTCATAAACTCATGCAAACAAACTAACACATTTAGTGATCAATATGTGGTAAAGATGAGTTAAAAATGTGTTACCTTAGATTCTAAGTTGATGGAAACACCCAAAGTTTAACCAAGTGCTAGCTTTTCCTTTTCCTTTTCCTTGCTCTTGGAGCTTTCTCTAACTTCTCTCACTGGAGATTTTTAGACTAGGTTTAAAATGCTACAAAGTTACCACCTTTTTGTTATACCACTTAAAGAGAATGAATAAGATGTAGATAACTAGAATATAAAGGAAAGTGAAGAAAAAAAGGAGCCCTGCTATGTGACTTCATTTCAATTAAAAATATTCAACCTTTGAAACAAAAGATGGAATAATCACTCCCTTGATCCTTCAAACTTTGGTATCAATTTAAAAATATCTTTTTTTTATCACAAGTTGGGCCCATCTCAAGTCCAATCCAACTTAATTTGAGTCAAGGCTTCCCACAAGACTAAAGAACTTATTCTAAACACTCGGTTTAGTTCGAAACCACTAATCCAAGATTTGGGGTGTTACATAAACGATTAAAGTAATTCTATAATCACTAATAGATCTAGATTTGAATCCTTTTATTAATACTTTTATTTTCATTTTTTAGCATTACTTATAATATAAGATAAATAACATATGTTGTAAGCCTTCAGTCAAATATGGTAGAAGCATTCTACCCCCTCCAACTAAATATAAATAAAATTTAAAAAATTCTCTCATGTCGTGACATGTGTCATGACACATAATTTATAACACATATTATCTGTAATTGAAAGATTAAATATATTGAGTTAATTTAAAATTATAATTAAATTGATAAAAATATATAAATAATAAGGTTTAAATACGTAAAATAAGAAAAGGACAATAATTAACTGATCCTATGTACAGCTCACCCTTTATTTTTAACCCTCTTCCCCTAATTTGGCTGAGAGAAGGTAGGGTTTCAAATTTTAAGAGGGATATTTCAGAGCAATAGTAAATGGGTGAAGAAGAAAAAGAAGAAGAAGAAAGAAAGGAACAGAACATGGAATCGAAGAAGGCGGGAGAAGAGGGCGAAAGCTCAATGACTCCATGGGAGCAACACGCCAAAGTCATAAGCATCCCTCGCTTCGATTACAAGGCTCCTTCTTCTTTGCTTCAACGCTCTCACTCTGCTTTTCTCATCACTTGCACTATCAGTACTTCTCCAGTCCCTTTCACTTATTTTCTTCTGTATCCTCTTTTTCCCCTAAATTTGGAAATGGGGTTTTGATATTTTCGTTTCTCTTGTTAGCAGAGAGGGAGAAGAGCGCTACGAAAGAAGCCATGTCTATCCTTTCAAAGGTCTCATCCTTTCGTATTTAAGACATTGCTAGTTGTTGATTTCATTGAACCATGTCCTGGGACTTTGAATGGTATTCGAGAGAAGAAGAAGAAAGACAAAAGCTTGGGTATTCAATAGTAGAAAGAAACATGAATCAATTAAAGTTCTCCCTTTGAGAGCTAAGTGTTGGTTACTTAAGTGATGAATCTATGTTTGCTTTAACTTTCCATATGTTTAAATAAGCTTAATAAATCATAATTGAAAAATGAATAGATTTTGTTTTTTACATGACGTTAATTGATTGCGGTGTTGTTTTCTGCTTCTAAACAACGATGCCAAAACACTGAATTGGTGCCTTTGATCATGTAGAGTGTATATCACTTTTGAATTCCTTCTCTTCAGTTACTCTATTAGAAAAGAGAGTTTAATGGATAAATTGCATCTGCACTTTGTTTCTTTTGAGGTTTCATGGAAACAGGTTTTTGCATATTGGAGAGATGTACTGTTATTGTCAATACTAATGCTTGCTAATTGTTTGAATATTTTTCCAGTACGTTGGTCCCTTCAACGGTGAAACCTCTGATGCAAATGTTGATGCTAAGAGAAGGAAAATATGTACTGAAGAAATTGATCAGATTATTAGCAAGACTGTTGACAGCCCGGAGATCACTGATGATGCAGGTGGGTACTTTCCAGGCCTTAAAAAATGGGACTTTGACATTCAGTTCAATTTCGTTTAGGCCCTGGATTCTAAATTTATTGATAGTATCTCATTGTGGTAGGTGGAATTCCAAAAGATGGCAGTTCCATCTCTGCAAATACTGATAAAAGTGAAGCACCAGAGCTTGCTCTTTCACTAGTTAAGCTAACAAAGAGCGGCTTGCTTCTGCTTACCCTCCCTGTGGAGAACTCCTTAGACACAATTGATGTTGTCTCAAAGATCTTTTGTGATCTGGGATCTGGTAGTTTAAAGTCACCGCTGTAAGTTTGTTACAGATATCCTCAAGTTTATATTTATTTTCGTCTTTAGACGTGTTTATAATTCTTTCCCATGGTCTCTTTTTTCCCAAAACTGTGATCTATCTGAATCATCTTCCAATGGCACAAAGAGATCTCTTCTGAGAATATTGTTAGGATAGCTGACTCCTAAGCCCTCTCTAAGCTTGCTTCAGGACTTGAAGTGAATAGTATCGAATAAGAACATACATTCATTAGTATATCTTTTCCATATTTGCATTATCATTCATATACATTTCTTTTTCACTTCAGTATTCTATCATATTTACTGAATTTTGGGTGAAATGGCATTTCATTGGTGCAGTTGGTGTCATCGAATCTTCCCTATCCAAGCTACATGTACCTTGAGTGAGAAGGAGCTGCATGCAGTTGTGTCGAAACTCGTTCAACAATATGTGAAAGACAAAGGAAACAAATTAACATCACCTCTAAAGGTTTGAGCTTTAGTTTTTAGTTTTTATGCTTGCAGTATGTTACCTAAGAGGCTTATGGAACATTTCTTCTAATACTAAGTTATGCAAGTGTAAAGCATTGTTTTTATCTCTAGTTTGCAGTTGGATTTAACAGAAGAGGAACTGAAGAGAGCCAGTTGAAGATTCCAAAAGATGGTTCAAAGAATTCTGATATGTCTGCATTATTGGACCGCAACAAATGCTTCAGCGTTGTTGCCGCCGCTGTTAAAGCCAATGTTCCAGATTCAGTTGTGGATCTGAAATCTCCAGAGGTACAAATATGTTATACAGCTTGTAAATGGTCTTAAATTTTCTACCCCGACGTTTGCCTAACTGCAATAGCAAATCTTTCAGCTATCTATTCTCGTAGAGTTGCTTCCTCTGTCCGGAGTGCCCAACGGATCGCTAGTGGTTGGCGTGTCAGCTCTACCCCTAAACCTTGTTAGTACTAAGCCAAAACTCTGCATTAAGCCACTGGTTGGGGATAAAATTGGGAAGAAGGGAAGTTAAAGCATGTCTACTGGTTGGCTTGCAACCTTCATCCACTGGTTAGGGAGTTTGGAACTTGTAACATTATTTTTTATGTTATGATTTGCTAATCCAAGGTAGCATAATCCGAACTGATTTACCCAGAAATTTTGTTTTACTTTAGGGTTAATAGATATGAGAAATTCAGTTTACCATTTTTTTTGATAAAAAGTTTACCATTTTGATTAATTTAGAAAATATGTGGGTTTTGTTCAAATTTGGTTTTGGTTTAAATCTCATGTCATGTGTAGGGGTGTAAACTAGTTGAGTCGAGTTCTAGTATTGCTGAGTTCGACTTGACTTTAAAACTTTAAAATAGAGCTCGACTCAACATGAAACTCTGAACTGAAGCTCGTGAACAATTTGAAAATACTCAAAATGGAAAAAAATCTTAATATATTATTAATAAATGTTAATATTATTAATAATTTATTTTAAAAAATAAAATCTTAATATATTATATTTTCGATCTGCTCATGAGCTTTCTGAATCGAGTATCAAGTAGTTCGTTTTGGTTCGTTAAGAACTTGAGTCGAGTCCATTCGATCTGAGTATTTATCGAGCCTTGACTGAGTCGATCTCAAGTAGTTCACGATATGTTTCGTCTCATTTACAGTTCTAGTCATGTGTATTTTAGTATAATTCAATTTGTAGTGATTTGAATGAATTGTTAATTAATATAATTTACTTATATTTTTTATCAAAAAGAAAACACATAATAACTTCACTATCATTTTAATAATAGTTACATAAAAAAGTTTCTTATTTTCAAATAAAAATAGCATAATATTATGTAATATTTTTATCAAAATAATTATTAGTATTATTATTAATTATTTTGTTATATTACCAAAATATTGACGATTATGTTTAATAATGTTGAAAATCATAATATTTAAATAATTTTAAGTATTAATCATTTGGTATTTCAAATATTTATTAAAATTTAAATTTAAGAAATTTTAATATTAAAATATGTATAACTTGATTTATATTAAGTTTGGATTTAAAATCATATTAATTAAAGTAGTTATTTTCTATTATTTTTTAAGAGAATAAATTTTTTAAAAAAATTGACCAATACTTACTATGTTGCCTAAATTTTCACCCTTCTTCATTTCCTTATTTGGTCTCTTGTTCTTCTTTTAAGCTTTATTTGCCCCTCAAGTTTTCCATTTATTTTGTATTACTAATTATTTATTTAAATATTAAATAATAATATAATAAATAATAATCCATTTATCAAATAATAAATTTTAACATAAAAAGTGGGTATTATTGCAACAGCAGAAAAAACTAAATAGATTACACATTGTATTAAAAAATATATAACCTTTCATAATCTTAATTAAGAAAGAACTAGAGGAAGAATTCTTTTTCTTCTCTTGGATTCATTCTTCACATATTGAAAGATATGATCATATGAAAGTTCATGTCGAATTCAGAGTCTCAAGTTCTAAACCAAAAACGAAATATTCATAATTTCATATATTTATAGCTTAGGGGGACAGCAATGAAGATTAGTTGCCACAAAGAGCAATGGAAAGATCTAAGTTAAGACTACGTGGGATGGAGCGGTCTTTATAATTAGAGTAGGATGATGACGAGAACCCCTTGCTGCTGCTCATCTCGCTTGTACAAGATGTATTACTTCTCTGTGACGATGGCAGGTGTTGCAGCGACAGTGACAACGATAATTCACATCCTTCTTCTTCTTCCTCCTTATCGTGTTGAATGCACGATCTCTTTACGTTCAGTTTGACGTGTTCACCGTCTTGTTCGTCTTCGTGTTCTACTCCTACCTTGCCAACCTAAGACATTTAAGTAACATCAAATGTTGGTACCCTAGTAGACCACAGTCCATGCACATATTGGAAACATTTTCTAACACAACATGGATCAGATAAGTAGTAAAACTACCATAACAGTAATTACTTAAAAAAAAGTATCTAAGAACAAGTGAAAAGGCACAGTTGGGAGAAAAGCTACAGAGGAATCAGATGGAACTGGTGGGGAAGAGAAGCATGAAATTCAAAAAAGCAAACTTCTGGTCCAATGCACTAAAGGTTCATTTTGAATCTCCATTCTGGCCAACCCCCAGAAAGGTCCCCTACTCACTAGAGTCACAGTGGACCACAGAATGTAAGAACAACTTTTTCATGGACACTGGTCCCATCCCCAATTCCAAGTTTAATTCATTTGATTTCTATGATCAAAGCAAGTGAAACCCATAAAAGGTAAAGTGAAAAAGTTAAAAGACAATTTTTCAATCCCCCTTATGCCTAATGTACCCTAAAGTTCTGTTGCATCATCCAAAGTGAAACACACTATGTAACTAGACTTTGTTGTAAGCACATTCACAAGATTTTCAATATAAAATACAAAAAATTATCTAAAATACATTATAATTTAAAATTTTCAGAATTTTAGGTCCATTTTAGCTGGTTTGACACCAAAACCAACATTACACTCAAAGCTGGCAAAAAAGAAAAGTGGCAGTGAGATAGGGGAGATGTAGGTTTTGGTTTAGTGTTACCTTATGGTAATTAGGTTGTTCTACTGAATATCTGAAAGAAAATGGCAGCGGCTGCTTTATTCCCATGGTGTGAAGATGATCATCAAAGCTGTACGGAATTGACATTGTCTCGTCAGTGATTGTACTCCTGGTGCTCTCCATTCTAGCCCTGAGGTAATAAGAGAAAGACAAGACATAAAACAAAAAGAATTAGGTTTTGTTTGCTTCTTGCACTGTCTGACAACACAAAAACTGACCTTTTTGAACGACGGAGTGAACAGCGATGAGAATCCGATTCTTCTTGTTCTTCAGTGGTCTTTGAAGCTGAGTGAAACCCCATATGATCATTTACTTCATCAACACATCCATCATGGTTCTCTACACACTGTCTTCTTTGATGGGTTGAACTCCGATCTGTCATTCACATGCATGCATTATTCATGTTGGGAAATTTTTTAAAGAAAAAAAACAAGTAAAAGGGGGCCGTCATTTTCTATGGTTGAATTTGTTGCAGGAAACATTGAGAAATTAACAGATAGATTTCTCAAGACATACCAATAGTAGAAGATTTACAAAGTAAACAAGTTAATTCATGTTATCATCTATTTTGGTATCAAGTGAATAAGAAAGGAAGAGATGATAATAAATGAACTGAAACATGGCAAGTAAGCTCTTTGACTTTCAACACCAAAAAGACAGCCATTAGAGGAAAGTGTCACATAAAATGGAAAATCCATACAAGAAGAAAGCTTTTACCTTCTCTGCCAAGATCACTTCTCATGCTCCGATACATCTGGGGAATAAGGGAAAAAAAGAGAGGAATTTTTAGGGCACGAAGACAAGAGGAAGACAAAAAACAAATGGTAGAAGATGAAGTACCTGAGGTGGCTTTTCACGTGTGAAATGGTGAGCCCTTTCACATCCATCAGTTGAAGAACAAGTTTCGGCGTAGCTTCTAAAGAAACATACAAAGAAGCCATTATCATTAAAAAAAGATGAACAATCACAAAGAAGAATAAGTAGAAGAATGAAAGATGAGCTTACTGTGGTGGCCGCCAAGCCTTTCAATGGCATTAACGAAACATTGGTGAAGCTCAGGTGTCCATCTCAAACGAGGCACCTTTGATCTTATACTGCCTCACTGCACCACTCCTCCCAAAACTACCCATTTTTTCTTTCACCCCAAAGATCCCTTCTTTCAACAAAACCCTGAAATCCCAAAGTGTCTCCTTTCACCAAGACTCGATCTTTGAAGGAAAAAGAAAAAACAATCTTCAGGGTTTCATGCTATTTTTAACACCCCAGAGAAGCCAAGGAGTAAAAATATATATCCACAAAAAACAACCCCAAAGAAAGAGAGAAGAGGAAGATCACGAGAAAATGAAAAGACGAAGCTGCAAATTCCTTAAGGAACACTGATTATACCTTGCCTGCTGCTGACTTTGTTCTGTTTCTATACCCTAAACCAAACCAATAATAATAAACTCTGAGCACTTTCAGAGATACATAAATAAAAAGAATGAAAATACCATCACGAGTTTCTGATTCACTTCCCTCGTTAAATCATTACCCCTAACCCAAACTGTTTTACTTTGACCTCTGTTACAGCACCTACGTTTTTTTTTTTTATTTTTTATTCTCTTGAACTGTAATACTGCCAACGTCGTCATGATCACAAAAAGGCACCTTTCATAATTATATATAGGATAAATTATACATTTAGTCCCAACTATCATTTAGGTTGTGTTTAATCATCTAAATGTTCTTTTAGAAATATATCTAAAATTACATCATGTCATCATTGAGAAACAAAGAAAATTCCAACTTAACAATTCTATTTATTTTTAATTATGGGTGATTAAAAAGGAATTAAATATAGCGTTAGACATGATTTTGAAAAAAATAATTGAGTGATCAAAATGAAACTAATATGATAATAATATGACTAAATATTGATTTTACCCTATAATATAATTTTCTTGCGACTGGTTTGTATAATTGTATTTTCCACAACAAGGGGAAAGGGACAAAATTTTGGGCACCCTCTTTTGACTGTTCTGCCATTAAAGAATACGGCTAGTACCCATTTTCTTCTCGTTGCATGTTTTCCAAAATCACAGTTTTGCCCTTCCTTAAGGACATGGACTAACGTTAGCTGATTAGGTGCCCTTAAATAAGGGTAACTTGAAGTCCAAGTCGCCGAATTGTATTTCAAGTACCAAATTTTCATTTTTTATGTACAATTCAAGAAAATACAAAGTAGAAAATTAGACATATTACATAATTAACCCAAAATAGTATATATACACAATAAAACAAATAAAACAATTTATTAATAATTTTATTGATAATAATAAATAATTATGTCAATCATTAGCCGTTTTCCCCCTAATTCACACGAAGAATCACAATTAATGTATCTTAACTGTGATAATGAAGAGAATGAAGAGATTAAAATTTATTTCAAGAAGGGAAAGGGTCACATATTCTCGAAGAAATATATCCCTTTCTTTTTTTCTCTCCTAAAAATTTATGTATTATTTTATATGTTTATTATATTATCGAATAACAAAATATAAAATGTAATCGTTAATTATAATTTAATACGATAAATAGGATGGATCTCGAGAGGGTGGTGGAAATAATCATCCTTCTAAAATTTAAAATTATTTTTATTTTATTTTTTACATGTATTTTTATTAAAATATTTAATCCTCTCAATTTTCATAAATTTAAATTCGATCTCTCTAAAATTTTAATGTTATATCGTACAATTATTTAATCCGTATGGTGATAAAAAAAATATGGTCAAAATGGTGGAAATTGGTAAAGGAGTGTAATGAAAAAATCAAGTAGACAAATGCAGACAAAGATCTGGACCGTCCGTTTAGTATAGGGGAAAGGGATCACGAGGACAAATTCAACGGTGGATTGTAGTTAGGAAAAGGAACACGTAAGTGGGGCCGTCAAAGAAATAGATTTCCTAATGTGAAATTTTGGGTAAAAGGAATTTAGGACGTTTTAAAACAAAAAAAAATACCGAATTAATTACTTATTAGACATTGTTTTAAAATTTTTTATCGATATAATATTCCTTCTAATTAGAAGTGAATGATAATCTGTAGCTTTCAATGACATGGATAGGTATTAGATCTGTAAAAAAATTTGAAACGGTGCTTAATAATTAATTAATTCATTTCAAGATGATGTTTAGGTAAAAACGCCGGAATTTAGACCAAACAAAAAAAAACCGGACGGCTCATTTATCAAATAAAGCACGTTATTTTCACTGGTTTCTTGTTGAGCCGGTGCCGACTGTTGGACAAACCGCATTATTACGTATGCTATTATTAAATTTTTATATCTTAATAATTACTTGCATGCAAAACAATTATGATAAATTACAACCCTATTTTCAACTTTTTTCCTGGATAAATTATGCATCTAGTATTTAAACTATCAATTTATTATGTTTTGGTATGTAAACTTTTAATATTTTTAAATCATGCCTAAAATTTACTTTTGTTCATTTTAGTACCTTGTTCAATGTTAAGTTTTGAAAAAAATTAAAGGTTTAGGTATTAAAATAAAATAAAAGTGATAATTTAAGTGCTAAATTTGTAGTTTATCCATTTGACTCCATTTTGGTCACCTAATTATTTTTCAAAAAGTATCCAATGTTTATTTTTATTTTATTTTGATCATCTATCATTAAAAAATTAATTGTGATACTAATATGTAACTATAAGAAATGTCACGTCATTGTTGAAGAATAAAAAAATTCACACGATATTGATCCATAAATATTTTTTGCAGGTGAGCACACATATGTTAACAACACAATTTTTGAATTGGTCACTACGAATAAATTTTAGGGTGAGCACCACAGTAAAAATATAACTAGCCGAAGAAATTCAAATTTTAGTGTGGACGCCTAATGTTGTGGATCCGCCACTAATTTCACGTTAATAGTTTCTTAACTTTTTTTAACAACGAGTGATGGAAATGAAACCAAAACGTAACGTTAAGTATGATTTTGAAAGCCAAATAATTAAATGACTAAAACAAAATAAAAGTGATAGTTGAGATATTAAATGTACATTTGACGCAAAAAAATAATATTACACAATACCAAGTAAGGAATATAATATAATTTATTAAGGTATTAAAAAATAATATAAATAAAGGAGAGGAAAAGGCAGAGAGGCGTACGTGTTTATGCATAAGAGATTAAGGCATGTTGTTTGGTTAAATAGAATCATTTAATGTAAATTTGAACTCTTTAGTATTTAAATTGTTGTTTTTTATCTGTGAATAAATTAGTGTTGTTTGATTTAGTAAAATAGTGTCGACTGATTCAATAAAATAGTGCTGAATGATTCAACACAGAAATATATTTTAAATGATTCAGAGTCATATCAAACAGCATGTCACATTAAGAACTAATCATACAGAATTTATAAATTATTCAACATTTAAATAATTAGCGTTTAATCATTTGAAATAAAATATAAATATAATATAATATATTCTGCAATTCTGAAACTGATCAAAGGAATTATCATATTCTTCCCTTGGGATACGCGCTGCAACCTGCAACGTACGATCGCGCTTATTCATTGTTTTTGGCTGCACATTAAATATGAATAAATAGTATTTAAAAGTATTGTTTAAACATAAAAAATAAAAAGATTTTAATGGCTAAAATGATTTTTTTAATCTTAAAAGATATTGGATTCCAGAATTTGTTTACAGAATTATTTAAACATTTATCGTTAAATAATTAAATGATTAAAATATTATAATATAATTCTATTTAAAAATTAATCATTAATAATGTACATGTATCGAATATAATTATTTAAATCTAAAATTTTTAGACCTTATATTACTAAATTAATAAAAAAAATCGTTTAATTGATTCTTAATATCTCATTAAAGGAAAAAAATAGATTTCGTTATCAACGAGAAATCATGTATGCAAAAAGATATTGATCCCAAATAAACGATTCATTCTTAAAATGTCATGTCTCATCATACAGGGTTCAACAGAAATCAAACATTACATATATAATCTAGCTACATCTCCTAATCTTTCAAGTCCTATCATCAATTGAATGACAAATCCACTTACTATGAAGATCGAAGGATGGTGAATGTGTGAATGACATGGAATTATTTCTTTACATTTATTGTTATCGTCTTCTCAGTTATATCAAAATGAGCTGAAACGGTTGAAGTCATCTATTGGAAGAAATACATTCTTCACATCGTCAATCTTCCACCTTATGCCTCATAAAACACAGTTTTTGTCATCTTAATTTTATCCCAACGAGCTTAACGAGTTGGAGTCATGCATTAGAAAAAAGACATTCACATATCCAATCTTTCACCTTATGCCTCACAATGATGGACATGCATTACCTTTGATTTGAAAAATATAATTTCATATAAGAAATGGGAAGGGATTTTTAGGGTTAATAATAAGTTTTTAGAAAACAATCTCACAAATGGCTTCGATGTTACTACAACACTTTGATTGAATAGTTCTACCCAACCAACATATATGCATATATCACAACAATTTAACTAAGAAACAATTATGTTAGACAACTTGTAACATAGTTATAGTCAGAAATAATGATTTAAGTAACTTTGAATGTTAACTTACTTTCGAGTGTTTGTTGGTTACTCGAAATTTGGATC